GGTTGTGACTAGAGTGTCCGAACATCGGCCAAACAAACGGATTACATACACTCTACAAAAACAAATTAGCGAGAAAACATTAAAATATTAAAGGAACAAACCGAGCCACAAAATTATACACTAATCCCGCTAGTGGCAGGCCTTGAACCCGGGACCTCCCAGAAGGTAGATGAAGGTGTCTGACCCATGACCTGAGGTTTGGTACAACATATATCCCCATACATGACGTACGTACCCGAGCCTCTTAGCCTATCGGTTCGATATTGCTGAGTAAGCCTAGTATATAAAACGAAAAATTTTTTTGCTCTACTGTACACACAGTGAGCATGTCAAGGCAACGAAACCTGAAGTCAAGCAAATCCTGGAATCTCGACAAACTTTCATCTGACCAGGCTTGTAGCGACCAAGGTCAAGGTGGAAATAGGCGTGCATCCCATAGAGATAATGATGCTGTATTTTCCAAAGTTTCAAGAGCTTTCATACTGTGGTCAGTCGCAGCAGTGCTAATCGCGGGCCTTTTAATCTTTACTGTTATCCGTCAGTTTACAAATCCTTTTGCAAATCCAAATCATTCTGAAACAGCTAAAGCAACTATCAAACCTAAGCCATTACTTACTGAAGAGGAACTTTCGAAACACGATGGTTCCAATCCTAGCATTCCAATATATATATCAATTCTTGGCCGAGTTTACGATGTGGACAAAGGAAGGAGACATTATGAAGTCGGAAGTGGATACAATGTCTTTGCTGGTCGCGACTCAACGCCGTCGTTCGTGACAGGAGTTTTCTCAAGAGAGAAAGCCGTAGATGATGTGAAGGGTTTGTCCCCAGAAGAAATGTTAGGTATCAAAGAGTGGCTAGATTTTTACAGAAAGGATTATACTTTTGTCGGAAAATTAATTGGGCGTTACTACGACAGTGAGGGAAATCCCACAGAAGCGTTAAATGAAGCCAAAGCCGTCATCAAAGAAGGTCAAAAACTGAAAAAGCTTCAAGAAGCTGAAAATAAACGCTTTCCAGGATGTAATTCAAGATGGAGTTTGGAGGAAGGCTCAACTGTGTGGTGCTCTCAAAACAGGTATGCATGACTCAATTTGATGTCCCTCCAGCGTTCCATCACGAATGCCGTTCTCTTATTGCTACGCTAATCGCAGCTGTAGTGGATAGTGAGAAGCTTAGCAGTGTGCAGTTGTAACAAAATGTCAACCGTATTTACAAAGCTTCTGCATAAGGAATTTTCCTAAGGAGCCCCCTTATATCAGAAGTTAGTCTTCAGGAGCCCATCCTAACAGTTGCCGAACTTGATGCTAAAAAGGTGTGAGAGAGGAGAAGGATAAAGCAAAAAGTGATTGACATGTAAGTCTGGGTTAGGATTCCCGATCCCCCACCAATGCACATTTTTGCTAAAAGCAACTCCGACTGACGAGTGTTAGGCTTACCCTAACAGGATGGTCAAAGATCACCCTTTACAAGCAAAATTTTACAGGTAGGGATACACTTTCACCCGGAACAAATTTATGTGAACAAAATGCCAACAGTGGAGGAGATAGGCTAGGAAGCCCAATTTTCCTGTCTGTGCTGCTTTCCACAGTTTCCAGCGTTGTAGAAAAAGACAGGTGGCATGTTAAAGGGGAACTGAAAAAGAAGAAACCTGGCCATACAGATCAGTGGCAGGGGAACTTATTCGAGAGGATACCAAAAGTAATTGAAAGAAAGTTTCAGAATTAATCTGAATGTTTTACAGGTGTTTCTCAAACTCATTAATTCATCAACCTTAAAGAAAGCAAATCGTGACCGTGACGGTGTTTGGATATCTGCTCTTGACATAGATTTTTACTATTTTAATTCTCCGTTTTCTACTTAGTTTTAGTTTCAATTGAGAAGACATGACGTGTGAATATTTTTGTTTGAAAACAAACCAGTAGAAAAGAAAAACAGAACATATTTTCATTGATTTTAATAGTTGTTATTGATGACAAATTACAAAATACATTTGTTATAACTATATAGACAACAACAACAGCTACTCGGAAAAACAAAAATAAATATATAAATATAGTTATACACTAATGTTAAATATAATATTTGACAGATCTTTGTAAAATATGGTTGACCGCCCTACACAACTCCTATGGCTCATAACATTTCGCATTTGGCATTCTCTTTTAATTTTCGGTCTCTCAACTTTTCGTTATTTAATTTCACACAATGTAGCCATTTGGCTGTGCTATAGTAATTTTTTTGGGGGGGTCAAAGGCATGGTTTCTAGACTTTCCACTGTTATCTGCATGTTGCCTGGTCCTTGAACAGCTTTCTACCAGGCCTTCATAGTCAACTGATTTTGGTGATGTATCCCAGACAAATAGCCCAGAGTAGCCTAGACAATAACAGAATGCGCATGCGTTAGGATCAGCAGCAGAATGCTTGTTGTTGATTTTGGCTAAGCTTCAGGTATTACTGGTCTTTCATAATTTTTTATGTACAGCAAGAAACCAAAGGGGCTCATTTACTCAACCAATTTTGCTACCCGTACAACTTCAATCATTCTCACCAAATAACTCAGTCAGAGAAGATGCTGATTAATGCAACATAAGGAATGGGAAACTGTGGGTGCCTTCCCTTGGGGTGATCTGGATCAGTATAAGTGATCCAAGATCTGTCATCAAAGGAACTGATGAATCCATGACCAGAGTGGATTCATCGGTTCCTTTGATGCACCATGATCCAGACAGATCTTGGATCACTGATCTTGATCCAGATCACCCCAAAGGAATGCACCCTTTATCTTGTAACAAGTTTGCTCCAGTTTGGTACAGAAGCTTTAGTGTCTACTTTTATGAAGTTCAAATGCTAACAGGTTGTGACCTGTAAATTCTGTTCAACTATGAAATGTTTTAATAGTTCCGACTCTTTTGAACTGAAAACTGGAAGAGTATTTCGCTCCTGTACTAATTTGACGTTTAATCCTAACAATTACAATTTCTTCAAATGTGATTGGTGCATAAACTGCTGTATTTTGCTCTGACTGATTAATCTTCAAAGTTGTAATCGGACACTTGTAATTGGACAGTTACACGAGCCAATCATGTTAAGTCCTCTCCACTAAATCCACCAATCACAACATTAATTATAATCACTGTGATTAGTAACCAATTTAAGAGACTAACTTTGTAAAATTGTGGAGATTTAATCTCCAGTGACTGCTTTGAAAGAAACTTAACAGCCATTGTGCAAGGTGTTCTCGATATTTTTAATTGTGATATTTAAAAATGGCTATATTAAAAGCTCTTTTTGAAATGAAACTTTTACTTTTGTGGGAAAGTGTAATGGTTATGATTAATTGGTAACAGGACATTGTGTCATCCAATTCAGTCGCTAATCGTATCTATAACAAAATTCTTGATCGTGATTGGTTCCCTGTGCACCTATTTGTAACATAATTGACACACAATCACGTGGCTGTCCAATGACAGGTATCCAATTTGAACTTTTCGTAATTGGATACCCACTTGATTCGCACATCAATTACGCGCTCTGTAATGGTTTGTGAAAAGCGTTATTGACATTTTTGCCCAAAAGAAGTTCTCAAAAGACATTCTGAAATTTGTTATAGATACAATTAATTAGTAATTGGAAAAACCTCATCCAATAATAATTGTTTATAAACGTAACATGGTTAAAAATCCCAACTGGCAGGAAGCAGACCAGTTGGCTATTTACAAAACGTGACCAAGGATTTGAACTCGGGACTACCGAGAAACAAATCCCGCTAGTGGCAGGCCTTGAACCTCGGACCTCCGAAGGTAGATGAAGGTGGAGTACAATTCAGTTTTGAGTGGAGTACAATTCAGGGAGTAATCGTGCTCGTAATTTCAAATCAGCACTTGTCCAATTTTGAAATTACTCACGCGATTACTCCCTGAATTGTACTCCACTCGGTCCAATTATTATTACTGATAGAAATCTGTTGAAATATCTGTGTTTCATGGAGTCCAGTTCTAATAGAGCTTGTCATGATGAAATAATAATTGTGTTGCTGCTTTGTGATCTGAGTGCAAAGTCCAAGGCCAGGACAATTTGACTTGTTGGTTTTTTTATCTCCTTACATGTTTGTTAAAGAGAATTCTAGAAAGGGTTGCTGTAGTACATTGTTGTTTAGTAAATAAACCTGTGGTTAAGTGGTTTGTGCAGAAATATACATATAGAAATTACATGCAAGGTTAATTTTAATTTTGCAAGGTAATTACTCTGGGTAATTACCTACCATAAAGCTTGCTGGTTACAAGACAGTGCTGCGAGTGAATTCTTGTTTATTTACATAGCAGTCAAACTATAGTTAAATAATTAACTTAGGAAGCTACTCTAGCTTACTCTGCGACCCGGAATTTAAGAAATTTGGTATATTTTTGTTTTCTTTGATCAAGTGCTACGTTTACACATAATAGAAACCTTGAAAGGCTTAGATATTGTGAGTAGTCAGTATTTGCCTGTGGTTTGAAAGTGGTAATGCTTCTGACTCGATAACGTCCATTTGGATCCAAATGAGCCATTTAACTTGACCAGTTAACATTAAAATAAAAGCAAAGAGTTAAAATTGCTTTTCTCTAATATTCACCATCCCAGAAATGCCCAGAGAATTCCATTCCGTGGCATGATATCGGCAAAATATTGAGGCCCAGAACTAGACAAATCTGCACCTTGCTTCACAGAGTTTAACCCCTCAATCATTTGCCATGTGTTTATAATTTCTTTAGGCTCATTTCAGTATTGGCTCTGGAGGGACAAAGTCTGAAATATTCTGTGAACATTTTGCTTACTTGCAATCTATTTCACTGGGTCTGGCTGTTTAATTAGGTTGATTAGAACTGTTTGCAAATTTGCCAAAAAATGTAGCTTCTGGACAGGTCTAATTACAGGCAAATCATTAAGGGCAGATAGGCACATCAAATACATAGTCTGCAGGCTACCCCATCCCGCCCAGATCGCTTCGCTCTCTGTGTTCTTCAGTTTTGGGCTCGTCTGCTTGCTTCGCTCAGCAAATTTAATTTTCCAGCCTCACTGGGAGCCTGTTCGCAGGCTAGGGTCGATCAGTAGTGGGTTTGATAATACCCCACCCTTCAATTAATTACATCTGGTTTTAACAAGTTTTTTCTATTGAATATAGTGCAGGCATCAATCGAGATTGGGCTGGAGTACCAAGAAAGATGTTTAAACCAGGCAAGAAGGATCCTACTTGTGTCTGTGTCAAGACAACTGGCCCTTCAAGTGACACTAACGAAGGAAATGAAGGTGATTTGAGGAATCCTAACCTGCAAGAATATCCAGGCTGTGACAAATATGATGCATCTTGTAAACTCTGAGTCAATCCAAGACTAAAACAAACGTGGAGGTGTTAAATATAACTTTCATTCAGTGGTAATGACATAACTTTTGCATTCATTGACAGCTTCCAGCAAAGACAAATGCTCAGCACACTGCAGGGCTGTCACTAATTTTTTAAGTAGGTGGGGAAACAGAACAAGTATCTGTGGATAGGATGTTCTTACAGTCTGCAAAACATTTGTGTAACTCCGCTAAATTTACCACATAGCAATTGAATAATGCTTTCTATCTGCTACAAAATCATGCCTATGGGCACAAACATATTTCTTAAGGGGGTTGCAGGGGCATCTCCTTGGAGATGAAATCTAGACATACTGTACACCATTTCATTGTATACTGGAAGACTTACAGATACATTGTGACGTCCCGTTTAGTTTTCCTGCATTGTAAGAGGCATGTACGTAACAAAACATGGAAGGAACAGTGAAAGTTTGGGAGAACTTGAAAAAGCTGTGGAAGCACTTGCCTGCGGCTCGTGTTCCCACAGCATTTCTCGTTCTCCCAAACTTCCACTTGTGTTTCTATAACTCCATAGAAACATGGTACATGTTTTCTATTTCCTAAACATTGCCTTTCAAAAATCTAGGTAAATAGCAATGAAGTTTACAGCATAACATCATTCTTCATTTCTTCAAGAGAGGCTCGCTAGTTGAAAGCACATTAAGGATAGGATAGCATGATTGTATGCTCTTTAAGTGTTAATTAGAAAGTGTTAAATTTCACACATTCATTGATGCAGCCAAATTTCTGTACATGATACAATATATGTTTGTGTGTGTAAGCTTAAATGTAAGCTTGTTGTCAATGTAGTTGAAATAGCAATATTTAGTACTTTTATAGAGTGAGTGTCAAAAGTACTCAAGCAGTTACCTTGGTTTTGGTTTTAATACAGTTTGAAGTCAGCCGAGTAGTCTAATTTGTAAGTATATTATTGAAAACTGATCTAAAAGAAATGATTTTCATGGTTCTTTGCCTTGTTCCTAGGCCTCAAAATTTGGCAGGGGTCTATCCCTTTTCGGTCATGTGTTCTGAGCAAAAAAGCTTCAGAACATCCCAATGCATTCTAGAGGATGGTCCCTCTGTTATAGCAATAGAGTTTTGCATGTATTTTGAAGCAAGACTCAGTGCTTCAACCATTTATTCATTCATGCTTCATTCTTGATGCAGATTTACTGTTGCATTTTATCAATTGCTTGACTAAAGCTTGTGAGAGTAATCCATTGTGTCCTTTATAGAGATATTTAAAGTGCCTATGAAGTAAAAAATAATTGCAGCTTATTTGAAAGGCTTTTCAAAGTAAAGAAGAATGGCATTTTCCTCTTTGGAATATCTTTTTTCCCTTTTAGAGATATTTACAATTTTGTATTATGCAAATGAGGAAAGTGATGACGTCATACGTGGTTCCACTAAAACAGTGCAACGCTCAATCGAGAATATCTCTAGAAATATTACAGCAGCGTTCTTTAAACTAGGCACCAGAAATGCACATCACAAATGAAACAAAATGACACCCAATGTGCCATTGCCATGACAACAGTTATGCCGCTGGTCCTGTTTTAATTAAGACTAAAATTCCCAGATTTTATCTTAAACAAGGATCATCCACTTCCAACGATCTAGTGGGGAGAGTTAAGACAAAATGGGAACGCTGTGTGTTCTGAGCAAGACCCTCGTCCTGCTTTAAAAGGTTGCAAATGGGGATATTTGGTTTTTCACAGAGACTGGAGTCAATATTGTTGCCATGGCAACAACATGTAGGTGTCATTTTGTTTCTTTACTGATGTACATTTCTGGTGTCAAGTTTGAAGAACACTGCTCCTATATTTCTGGAGATATTCTTGATTCAGTATTTTATTGTGGAACTATTTATGACATCATGACTTTCCTCATTTGCACAATACAAAAGTGTGAATATCTCTAAAACGAGAAAAGATATTCCAAAAAGGAAAATGCCATTCTTCTTTACTTTGAAAAGCCTTTCAAATAAGTGGCAATTACTTTTTACTTCGTAGGCACTTTAATTAAAGTGGAATGGTACCCTATAAGGGACCGAAAAGTTTATTTCAGAATGGTGAAGAAAGATCAATTACGTGTGATTGCACTAATTAAGAGGAAATAAATTTTGGAGGTTTTATTTGAAGTGGTTGTTATGACAACCAGCACACCCTTTTACAGTACTATGATATTTTGTGGCATTTCCTGCTCTTTTTACAAAACGAGATTTAACTTTCAAACAAACAAGTGTAAATTTCTGTTTTGCCCTGTGCAGTATAGCAATGTGTTTACAGTTAACTCTTGTTTGCATTGCTTTTTATAGTATAGGGGTGTAATAGTTGTTTTATTTTGTAGTATATAGATTAAACCAAGCATAAAAGCAGAACCCCACAAAATACTTATTATCCACTACACACAATAACCTTAATAGAAATTCATCAATAAGCATCTCAGCAAACCGAATGAATTGAACAAGAAGAAAGAGGAAATCTACTTAAACAGAAGATGCATATCACTACATCTGAGTATCAAACAACAAATCCTGTCTCGATGGATGATTGATCAAAAGACATGTTAAGGAAAATTGGTTTATGATTGATTATAATTCAACGTAAAGCCAGGAAATGCATTTAGACGCTGCCCAACTTCTAAAATTTCAAAGGCTTACCATAGGTCTTGTGGTGTTTAAGTTTAATAATTATTCAGCACTAAAGCATAATGTAAGTATTAGTTTTGCCAATGGCTTTGCAGTCATTTTATCGGCCGTGGCTTTATCAGTCTTTTACAAGTAACCTTAAAGTGGTACTATGACGAAAATCGCATCTCTCCTATCTAAGCCATTTTGAAACACAAACAAGTAGTCTTTATGAGAAGAAAAAATGCCGTTTACTATTTTCAAATGTCTCTTTTTGTTCCTGAGATATTCAAGCTTTTAAAATATGCAAATTAGCCAAATGATGACATCATACACTCAACCAAATTTTGATCAAATATGAAGAAAGACATCTCAGCCAATTTGTATCAGAAATGTTTGATTCTTTGCAGTAAGACTCTACTAAATGTGCTCCACAATACGAGCTTAACAGTTTTGTTACCATGGCAACATACTGGGTTCCAGACCTCCCCAATATTAAAGGCTTTCTTGGCCACCTTTGGCAATCCATTTTGATATTTGCTAATGGTGTCACATATGCACGATCCAGCAAGCATATAAATATCTTAGCTCGAACTCGTGGCCTTGTGTAATGTTTTTAAAAATGAAAATCGCTAACACATGAAAATCAAGTGGGTGGGGACTGGAAAAGACTGAGTTGCCATGGGAACGGTGATGGACGAAACACTGACCCCCAGTCCATGGACTACCCAAATGGACTACGCTAAAATGGACTAACCCTAAAAATAATGTAATAATAATAGTAATAATAATAATAATAATAATAACACCAGCAACCAGTGTTTTTCTCAAGTGCATTGTAAACATTCAGATTTAGGCTGTTTGCCTCCAAATTATTTGGGGACAATTAAGGGCTATTAATAGATGGAAAGGAACTGAATGTTCTGACTACCTTGTTAGTTTGTCAGTGTTCCTGGAAGGTTTACTATTCAGCCATTATTCCTGTCATCTCCTATCATGTCATCTTTTAGCTTGTGCATGTGTAGTGGCTGACTGAATCGCATGGAATAAAACTGAAAATCATTGTGTGACATTAACATGTAGTAATGTGCTATTCCTAAATCAAATATTAGAATCGGTTCTTCACTCACATCTCAATCGCTTTTCAAGTTATTATATTTACACTTGTATGATCCTGATACTGATTGGTACCTCTGATTGATAACAGCCATTGATAATTTGAAATTTGGTTTGAGTTTACGCTTATCGCACCATTTTGTGTTCAGCAGTTTATTTAAAGGAAGATTATTCAAAATGGTTGTTAGAGGCTGTACAGGATGATCATAAGCAGAAGTTATGTGTAATTTAAGTATACTAGCAGCTAAGAACATTAAATGGTACTTATTTGGAATATTATTTTGAAGGTTAGTCCGTATTAGGGTAGTCCATTTGGGTAGTCCATGGACTGGGGGTCAGTGTTTTGTCCATCACCCATGGGAACAGAATTTGTTATAGCTGTGGGTGTGTTTCCTGTAGAACTATTAGCCTACCAAGTTTCAATGGATTCTCTGCAAATTGACCGAGACAGCTCTTTTTGCATAATACTAGTAGTAATCAAAGATCATGAGTGCATTTGACACCGTCACTTTCATATGTATACCTTAAATGACTTAAGGGGGCTCCATAGGGTAATCAATTATGGTGTTGCGCGCACAAGTGTTATGTTCTGAAAGCTGTTTTTGCATTTGCTTTCACACCCTGTTCTTTCAAACTGAGTACATGCAATAACGAATGATTAAATAGTGTTTTGCTATCATCTCTGTTTTGGGCTTTAGTCTTGAATTATAAATGCCCAAACAAATATGTTTTTTACTGTTTGTGTGGCTTTATTTGTGATTTTCTTGAATTTTCTTCGGTGAAATCTTCCAAAATTTTTACAACACATCGCTTCCAGCGGGATACGAATTTTAAACACGAAAAAGTAGGGTTTGTAAAGGCAGTTTTTTCGATAT